CTGCCACCTTTGGTATTTGCAGCGTACCAGCTGGCTTTTCGATACAAAGAGAATTCTAAAATGGTGGGTTTACTTTTAAATATATCACTATGTCTTTCGTTTTTCCTCACTCTGTGTGTATTAGTTTTATATTATGGAAAATTTCAAACATATACAAAAACGGACAGTGGTATAATACAATTCCATTTTCAGTAACTTTACATTTGTTCGTCATCCTGTGCTAAAGTGTTCCTAACAGTGATGTTGGGGGTCACATACTAGTTGAGGGGTCATGAAAACACTTAGAAGTGAAAGATCAAAACAGTTTAAACTTATTCTACAAGTTTTTCCTAGGTTCTATTTCAGGTTAGCTTTGCCTAATGAAAGGACCTAGCATTACATAGTCGTTTCTCTCTACAAGGACATAATTGAATAATGTCATAAGTTATATGCAGTTTTTTATGAGCTTATTTCTTCTTCAGACAGAATCATCACTTAAGTCTTCAATAATATAGTTTTGAAGAAAGTACCATAATCTGATGTACCTGAAAGTTGGATAGCCAGGTTTAGGTTAACGAACAAACTTCAGTAAACTTAATTTTCTAATACGGAGAAAGCAGATTTACTCAGTAGATTTACTGATATGACATAGCACCTTTGAGCCAATTTTTGTAAAGCCATTTTTCTCATTCACTCTCTTTCCAAGCATTTTATTGGATAGTTACCTGTGACTATAATGATAAAAATAGCAACAAGACTATCTTACAAGGCTATAGTGATTAAAACAATATAGTACTGGCATAGAAACAGATGTATAGACCAATGGATCAGAATAAGAATAGAGAGTACAGAAATAATCCCATTCATATGCTGTTAACTAATCTTTGATAGGGGTACTAATAATACATAATGGGAAAGTAATAGTCTCTTCAATAAACAGTATTGTATCCACATGCAAAAGAGTACAATTGGGTTCTTATACTATGTACAATAATTAACTTGAAATGGATTAAATACTTACATACAAGATCTGAAACTATAAAACTCAAAGAAAATATAGGGAAAAACTACCTTGACATTGATCTTTGTAATGATTCTTTTAATGTGACACCAAAAACATAGTTAACAAAAGCAAAAGTAAGCAAGTGGAGCTACGTCAGACTCAAAGCTTCTGTACAGCAGACAGCAGATTGATGAAACAATGTGTGGAATAGTAGGAAATATTTGTAAACCACATGATAAAAGGTTCATATCCAAGGAAACAAATAACTTGATTTAAAAATGGGCAAAGGATTTGTGTGTCCATTCTTTCAAAAACAACATACTAATGGACAGCAGGTATATGAAAGGATGATTAGTAGCCAACATCACTTATCAAGAAAATGCAAATCAGAAACACAAGTTTATGCCACCTCACACCTGTTAGAATAGCTGGTACTGGCAGCGTCTGTGGCTCAGTGGGTAGGGCATTGGCCCCATATACCAAGGGTAGCGGGTTCAAACCCGGATCTGGCCAAACTGCAACCAAAAAATAGCTGGGCGTTGTGGGAAGCCCCTGTAGTCCCAGCTACTCGGGAGGCTGAGACAAGAGAATCACCTAAGCCCAGGAGCTGGAGGTTGCTTTGAGCTGTGATGCCACAGCACTCTACAGAGGGCAATAAAGTAAGAATCTGTCTCTACCCAAAAGAAAAAAAAAACTTTTTATCATAAGGACACTGGCACTAGACTGTTTATCACAGCTCAATTTACAATCACCAAAATGTGGAAACAGCCTAGATGCCCCCCAACCCAGGAATGGATTAACAAGCTGTGGTACATGTATACCATGGAATACTATTCAGCTGTTAAAAAAATGGAGACTTTGTAGTATTTGTATTAACCTGGGTGGAAGTGGAACACATTATTCTTAGTAAAACATCACAAGAATGGAGAAGCAGGTTACAGAGCGGAGAGAGTGAGGAGGCTGTGTCTGGCTCCCGCTCTCACAGCCATTGCAGTACATTGAGCTCCATAGAGACAGCACCAGGGCAAGTGAGAGCCAGACAGGCACTGGGTGACTCTGTGCCTCACTGAGGAAAAATAACTAAACATGGGCAAAGGAGATCCTAAGAAGCCAAGAGGCAAAATGTCATCATATGCATTCTTTGTGCAAACTTGTCAGGAGGGGCACAAGAAGAAGCACCCAGATGCTTCAGTCAACTTCACAGAGTTTTCTAAGAAGTGCTTAGAGAGGTGAGCACTTTACCATGTCTGCTAAAGAGAAAGGAAAATTTGAAGATATGGCAAAGGTGGACAAGGCCCGTTATGAAAGAGAAATGAAAACCTATATCCCTCCTAAAGAGGAAGCAAAAAGGAAGTTCAAGGATCCTAATGCACCCAAGAGGCCTCTTTCGCCTTTTTCTTGTTCTGTTCTGAGTATCGCCCAAAAATCAAAAGAGAACATCCTGGCCTATCCGTTGATAATGTTGCAAAGAAGCTGGGAGAGATGTGGAGTAACACTGCTGTGGGTGACAAGCAGCCTTATGAAAAGAAGGCTGCAAAGCTGAAGGAAAAATATGAAAAGGATATTGCTGCATACCGAGTAAAGGAAAGCCTGATGCAGCGAAAAAGGGAGTCGTCAGGGCTGGAAAAAGCAAGAAAAAGAAGGAAGAGGAGGAAGATGAAGAAGAAGATGATGATGAATAAGTTGGTTCTAGCACAGTTTTTTTTTCATGTCTATAAAGCATCTAACACCCCTGTACATAACTCACTCCTTTTAAAGAAAAAAATTGAAATGTAAGGCTGTGTAAGATTTGTTTCCATGCTGTACAGTGTCTTTTTTGTGTAGTTTAACACACTACTGAATATGTCTTTAGATGGCCGTGTCCTGGCAGTATTTTCAGTAGCCACTAACCTTGCCTGGTACAGTATGGGGGTTGTAAATTGGCATGGAAATTTAAAGCAGGTTCTTATTGGTGCACAGCACAAATTAGTTATCTATGGGATGGTAGTTTTTTCATCTTAAGTTGTCTCTGATGCAGCTTATACGAAATAATTGTTGTTCTGTTAACTGAATACCACTCTGTAATTGCAAAAAAAAGTTGCAGCTGTTTTGTTGTCATTCTGAATGCTTCTAAGTACATACAATTAAAAAAAGAAGAATGGAGAAGCATGAATCCTATGTATTCAGTTTTGACAGAAGGACAATTATTGACAATGACATGGTGGGGAAAGGAGAGAGCAGAGAGAGAGAGAGGAGGAGGGTGGAAGAAAGGAAGAGCAGAGAAAGGGAAGGAGGGAGGGGGTGGAGTCACAGTGTGTGACACCTTTTGTACCCTTAATGAACCCCAACAATTAAATAATAAGTTATGCTATATCCAATTTGTAGAATATTTTCTAGTCATTAAAATGATCTCAAATACCTTTTAGTATCCTGAGGAAAAATGTTATGACAAAATAACTGAAAGAAAAGTAGTTGGATACAAATTATTTGATATAGGAGCCTTGTCGTAATTTCTCTTTTCAGAAAGCTATTTTAAAGACACTGGGCCGGTGGCTCATGCTTGTAATCCCAGCACTCTTGGAGGCCAAGGCGGATGGATTGCCTGAGCTCAGGAGTTTGAGATCAGTCTGAGCCAGAGTGAGATCCTGCCTCTACTAAAAGTAGAAAAAAAAAAGAAGTTTTACATAAAATGGATGTTCTTGAGCAAGTTAATTTTGAACTTAATGTAACTTAAAATATATTTTTTCTTGTTTTAGGATGACAAATGGGAAAAGAAATGCCAGAAGATTTTTTCATTTGCTCACCAGACTATCAGTGCTTTGATCAAAGCAGAGTTGGCAGAATTACCCTTAAGACTTTTTCTTCAAGGAGCTCTAGCAGCTGGAGAAATTGGCTTTGAAAATCATGAAACAGTAGCGTATGAATTTATGTCCCAGGTGATGATCTGCTCTCTTTTCTGGGTTATCTAGTCAGTTTTGACAAGTTCAGTCATCTGCTTGTTGTTGTGGTGGAGCGTGTGCAGTTACCTTTTTCACTGAGTACGTAACTGCTGCCTCTCCTGTCTTAGAACCTGGTAAGATTGTACTCAGATTGACTGGTATGAAGCAGCAGAACTGATCAGTTTCTGGGTGCTAATGAAATATAAGATTTCCAAGTGGGTCCTGGTAAAAGTGGTTTTATGGAAAGATGCTCCTTTGTCAGTTCAGTTCGGGAACCCTGGGTTAAACAAAGTTGAAAGAGTTTTCTTTCTTTTTTCTTTATAAGAGGTGGGATGTCACCATATTGCCCAGGCTGCATTAGAACTCATGGGCATAAGTAGTCATGCCTTAGCCTCCCACATTGCTGGGACTACAGGTGCTTTTCACTGCTCCTGGCTTTGAAAACAGGTTGCAACTTGTCAAATTTTTTACCATCTCAGCTGTGTGTTTTGCCTCTCCAAGGCAAAGGGAGGCCAAGAGAATACAGCGTCTTCTGGTATAAAGGAACTACAGAATGTCTCTTGGGATGGGTATTTGGTAGATAGTACTCTGGAAAACACTTTAATAGTAGATGGTAGCTTCCTAAAAGTCCTTCTTGTTTTATGTTCACTAGGCATTTTCTCTGTATGAAGATGAAATCAGTGATTCCAAAGCACAGCTGGCTGCCATCACCTTGATCATTGGTACTTTCGAAAGGATGAAGTGCTTCAGTGAAGAAAATCATGAGCCATTGAGGACTCAGTGTGCACTTGCTGCTTCCAAACTGCTGAAGAAACCTGATCAGGGCCGTGCTGTGAGCACCTGTGCACATCTCTTCTGGTCTGGCAGAAACACAGACAAAAATGGAGAGGAGGTAAGGCCACTCCTAACCATGTTATAGGAGGTGGAGGTGTCAACAGGAATCAGTTGCCATGGCTTTGTGCTTTGGGCAAAACATTTGGGGGTGCTTGGAAATCTGACAAAATTCTTTTGTTTCTATAAGTGGGGTCAGGCACTGTGATTCACATCTGTAACCCTAGCACTCTGGGAGGCAGAGGTGGGAAGATCCCTTGTGCTCAGGAGTTTGAGACCAGACTGAGCAAGAAGGAGATCATCTCTACTTAAAATAGAAAAATTAGGCAGGCGTGGTGGGTGCTTATAGTCCTAGCCACTTGGGAGGCTGAGGCAAGAGGATCACTTGAGCACAGGAGTTTGAGGTTGCTGTGAGCCAGACTGATGACATAGCACTCTACCAGGGCAACAGGGTGAGACTCTGTCTCAAAAAAATTAAAAAGAAAAGAAATGGGCAGTGATGTAAAGAGAGTCTCATTCTATGGTGAAGCTTCCACTTTGAGGATGTTGTAACGTAGCAAGTTCTGCCACTACTTTTTTAAATACAGCTGTAGACTTTAAAAAAAGAATGAAAAAGATTTAACTTGTGTCTCTTTAAAACACAAAAGAGCACTGCAGTCTTGCATTTCTTTTTCTTTGTCTTTTTTTGTCTTTTATGTAGGAGAATATACTACCACTCAACATCTACTGTAAGGTTGGCAGCCCTGAGAACTCCCTTTTTTTTTTTGAGACTGTCTCACTGTGTTGCCCTTGGTAGAGTACTGTGGCATCACAACTCACGGCAACTTCAAACTCTTGCCTCAGTTACCCAAGTAGCTGGGACTACAGGCGCCTGCCACAACGCCCGGCTATTTTTTGTTGCCGTTGTTATTGTTGTCTAGCTGGCCCGGGCTGAGTTTGAACCCACCACCCTCTGTGTATGTGGCTGGCACTATAACCACTGTGCTACGGGCGCCAAGCAAAGATCTCTTTTTTTTTTTTCCCTAGAGACAGTCTCACCTTGTCACCCTCAGTAGAATGCTGTGATATCACAGCTCACAGCAACCTCCAGCTCTTGGGCTTAGGCGATTATCTTGCCTCAGCCTCTCAAGTAGCTTGGACTGCAGGTGCCCACACAACACCGGGCTATTTTTTTGTTGCAGTTCAGCCGAGGCTGGGTTCAAACCTGCTACCCTCATATATGGCACCAGCGCCCCACTCACTGAGCCACAGGCACTGCCAAGAACTCCTTTTTTAATGTAGCATGTTATGAATGTATTCTTGCTCTCAAAGGAATAAGGAGCAGACATTTCCACATGCAAACATTTCTTTGTATAAAAATGGGACATTTGTGGTTGATAGCTGCGTTTTCCCCCTGCCCTTTTATTTTAGCTTCACGGAGGCAAGAGAGTAATGGAATGCCTAAAGAAAGCTCTAAAAATAGCAAATCAGTGCATGGACCCCTCTCTACAAGTGCAGCTTTTTATAGAAATTCTGAACAGATATATCTATTTTTATGAAAAGGAAAATGATGCGGTAAGTGAATAATAAACTGCTGTTAGTGAACTAATATTTTCCCTTTCTGCTTTTAGGAGATTTGATATATATAAAAGTTTATCATTCGGGTACTTTCTGATTTGTCTACAAGGTTAGGGTTTACAGAGTCTACCTACCTGCTGGTTTCTTTGATTCTCTGAAATCCTATTTTGTATGCATAGATGCTTCTCTCTAACTGAAGAACTAACGTGTGCAAGAAAATTCTCATCTCATTTGCCTAGGAATTTTATAAAAAATAATCACTATCCATTGGAAAATACAAAATAATTTGCAAATGCCAAATGGGCTGATTTGTCATTATATACAGTAGAACTTCCATAGCTGACCACCTCCTTAAGTTGACCTCATTTTCATAGACCAGATACTCACCACATGTACATAGCAGTACAGTAAGCCTAATTCCTTGTGTATGTTGACCAGTTTGTTACAGTCCCTTGGGTGGTCAACCTACAGAGCAATTCTACTGTACTAGTTTAGGATAATTACATAGGTTGCTGTGAGCTGTGATGATGCCGCACTACCCAGGGTGACAGAGTTAAGACTCTGTCTCAAAAAAAAACAAGAGTTACTGAATTTTTTTGTGGTATTTGGTTGATCATGAAATTATATATATTCTTTTGTAGGTAACAATTCAGGTTTTAAACCAGCTTATCCAAAAAATTAGAGAAGACCTCCCAAATCTTGAATCTAGTGAAGAAACGGAGCAGATTAACAAACATTTTCATAACACACTGGAGCATTTGCGCTTGAGACGGGAATCACCAGAATCTGAGGGGCCAATTTATGAAGGTCTCGTCCTTTAAAAAGATAACAGCTCACCATACTACTTTCCATGTATATCCAGTAAGGGTTTTATTATACTAGGTTTCCCTTCCATAGATTGTGCCTTTCAGAAATGCTGAGGTAGGTTTCCTATTTCTTACCTGTGATGTGTCTTACCCAGCACCTCCAGACACTCACCTTCAGGACCTTAATAAAGTCATTCGCTTCATAAGTGTCCAAGTCTGTCTGATCACCCAAGTAGCATGACTCACCTGCCATTTAAAATTCCTGTGATGTGTAAAAGCAAAAACAAAACCACTCGGCTACTAATGAAGCTCTCTTTCCTTTTTTTTTTCTGTTTTGTTTCATTGTTGATTGTGTGTTTTCTTCATTATTGGGAAGTATTAACCCAAAAGTGTCCGTCTCTTTGTTCTCTAGTCCAATTTGAGAATAATTTAGAGGAAAGGAATACTGTATGTGAAATTCAGCTTGGGCTTCTTCCTAATGCAGGATAAGGCCATGTGTAATATTTGCCCTACAACTAGAATATATTAATGCATGTTTGAGAATTTTAAAGCACCATGGTCAAAACCAGAAGCTATATTTTGCATATTTGGATTCAACCATCCTTTAGGAACTTATGTTAAACTCTGGACATATTTATCAAAATAATTTGATTCTAAATAGTATAAAATGGAAATGTGATTTTATATAATTTATGTATACCATTCATTATTGTAAATTTAAAGGACAATGCATCACAATTATCATGATTTTTTTTTTTTTGCACCAGTGAAACAATAAAGTTGCTGTTAACAATTTTGGACCTTTTTTTTCATTCATACTATCTTTATTGGTAAAAGGAACTAGTATAATCCAATGGAATTTAATAGACGTTCTTATATGTTCACAAAACTCACTTATTTAACTCCTGTTTCAAACATGTATAGAGCAAGGCACTGTCTATTCTTTAGTCATGTATACCCATTTGCTTTTCTCTTCTTAACCTGCTTTTCCTTAAGGCCTGATGAGTTCACATAAATGCCCAAAAGGTTCCCCACCTGTATCAGCTATCAGAAGGCTGCCCGCCTGCATTAGCTATCTACTATATAACAAATCACCCCAAAACTTGGTGTCTTAAAAGAACAAGCATTCACCTCACAGTCCTCTGTGTCAGGATTTGGAGCAGCTCGGCGGTTTTGGCTCAAGGTGTTGCATAAGGTTGCAGGTGAGATTTTGACTGGGGCTGCAGTGACCATTGGGCTTGGGGCAGACTGCTGAGCCCACTCAGTGTGACTGTTTGCCAGAGGCCTCAGCTCTTCTCCTTGAAGGCCTTTTCCTGGAGTGGCTTGAGTGTCCTCAGAATAGGGCAGCGGCTTCACCAGAGTGAGTGATACGCAAAGAGAGGAAGAAGGAAACCACAATGCTTTTTTAAGACATAACCTTGGAAGCAACACTGTCATTTTCGCCTTAAATGGGAGTCATTAAGTCTAATCTGTACTCAAACGTCAGGGGATTTGTTCCACCACTTGAAGGAAGAAGTAGCACAGAATTTATAGACATTTTCAAATGACTACATCACCTCACACCTCCTCAACACCTGCCCTCCTGTTACTAAATGTCTAGCACTTGCTAGATGTCAGGGGTGTCCAGGCTTTTTTTTCTAATGCTGCATGTTGGAAGAAGAATTTCCTTGGGCCGTGCAGTAGATAACACAAAAACTAAGGAAAGCTGATTAGCCAAAAAAAAGCTTTGTGCATACTTTTTTTCCATAATATCCAACAACACAGATAAGCAAAAAAAAAAGTCCTCATAAAATCAGCATGTGGCTGGGGCAGCACCTGTGGCTCACTGAGTAGGGAGGTGGCTGGATCAAACCTGGCCCCAGCCAAACTGCAGCAAAAAAATAGCTGGGTGTTGTGGCAGGTGCCTGTAGTCCATGCTACCCAGGAGGCTGAGGCAAGAGAATCGCCTAAGCCCAGGAGTTGGAGGTTGCTGTGACCTGTGATGCCACAGCACTGTACTGAGGGAGATAAAGTGAGACTCTGTCTCTTAAAAAAAAAAAAAAAATCAGCATGTGGCTCATGGGCCACAGGTTGGACTCCCTGCAAGTTTATGTGAATAAATGTTTCCAAAGTGATAAAATTAGTACCATTAAAATGTGTCATGCTAAGCCTTCTGTGATCTTAGTCCAGCATGCCCCTTTCTGTTGTTTGCAGGTCCTAATTTACCCTTTATAAACTTGACGATATGTTAAAAGTTGACATTTTACTTATATGTTCTGTAAAATGCAGCTGGAATAGTAAAAAAAACATGACTAAGGAATACTTGAATTTGAGGCTCGGTTCCTGTAGGTAGCTCAGTAGCGAGGGCGCCAGCCAAATACACCAGAGCTGGTGGGTTCGAAACCAGCCCAGGCCTGCCAAACAACAATGACTACAACCAAAAATAAAAATAGCCTGGTGTTGTGGCGGGCACCTGTAGTTTCAGCTACTTGGGAGGCTGAGGCAAGACAATCACTTAAGCTGAAGAGTTTGAGGTTGCTGTGAGCTGTGACACTACAGCACTCTACTGAGGGCGACAAAGCAAAACTCTGTCTGTACCCCCCTCTGCAAAAAAAAAAAATCCTTGAATTTGAGCTCAGTTGGAGAGGATGGGTCAGAGGTAAAACAAATATCAATATAAGGTGTAAAATATCTCATTTTCTGGTTGAGGTAAAGAGATAAGGTTTTAAAAATAAAGGAAACCAAAGAGCTGCTAGCACAAATTTCTTTATTCAACAATAATTGAGCACCTACAGTATGCCAGACAGGCACTGAATATAAAAGTGAACAAGGTATGGTCCCCAGCATGAAGGATTCTAGTGTGCTGTGAAGATAGACCCATGGTAAGAGTATCCAGGAGAGCACTGAAGAAGGGCTTTAGGGACTGGAGGTGTTGGAAGGTCCTGGAGAGGGCTCTGTGAATTCTTGAGGAACTTCAAATCCAATTGTGTGTTGGGCCTCGTGCAATACAGTCCTCTATTTAACAGGTGTGATCCATGCATTGAAGCAAGTTAAACTCTTCCTGTTTGTAATGAAATAAAAATTTTTAAAAAATTGACTTAGGGGCTCAGTGCCTTATGGTTCAAGAGGCTAAGGCGCCAGCCACATACACCTGAGCTGGTGAGTTCGAATCCAGCCTGGATTTGAATCCAACTCACTCAGCCCAAACAACAATGACAGCTGCAACCAAAAAATAGCCAGGTGTTGTGGCAGGCGCCTGTAGTCCCAGCTACTTGGGAGGCAGAGGCAGGAGAATCACTTGAGCCCAGGGGATGGAGGTTGCTGTGAGCTGTGATGCCACGGCACTCTACCCAGGGCAATAGCTTGAGGCTCTGTCTCAAAAAAAAAAAAAATTAACTTAGGATTTACAAACTTATCCAGTGATTTGGTAGAGTAATTTTACATCTATTAAATATACTGATAAAATTTGAGTTTGAGGATTGGTGCCTCTAGTACAGTGGTTACAGCGCCAGCCACATACACTAAGGCTGGCAAGTTTGAACTCAGCCTGGGCCAGCTAAACAACAATGACAACTGCAACAATAACAACAAAAAATAGCCAGGTGTTGTGACGGGAATCTGTAGTCCTAGCTACTTTGGGAGGCTGAGGCAAAAGAACTGCTTAAGCCCAAGAGTGTAAGGTTGCTGTGAGCTTTGATGTCACAGCACTCTACTGAGGGTGACATAGTGAGACTGTCTCAAAAAAAAAAAAATGGGGGGGTTTGAGTTTTTCTAGAAATTTTTATTGTATCTTACAGAAAAAGTACCTGTCCTTAGTAGATGGGGGATATCCTTCACTGATGGATAGAAGTACTGAACCAGAGCAGGTCTGGTGCTGAATGGCATTAAATTCCAAAACTAGGGATTAATCACAAAGGGACACATCCAGGAAGATGGTGCAGGTATGAGTTGGATGAGAGATGCCTCCTGCTGTGTCCCTATCCTCCCTTTCCTGTCTCCACTCAGGAAACCCATGATTCTTAGAGCCCTGAGGATTGCTTCTTCACTGGAAGTCATGGTTCTGACTGGTTCTCAAGCCCTGACGTTGGTGGTCCGCAGGTTAGTGAACTAAAACACCACAGTAAGGGCCACTGCTAAGGTTGTAGGTTGATATTTGCAGCTAAAAGAGGGTGGTGTTTAACAATCAGGCATCATAGTATACTTTGCAGGGTGATAAGTGAGTATAGTACAGTTCATATGCAACTCTCAGAGCCACTGAGAATGTGACACACTCACAAAGAATAGATGTACCATCATAGACAATGAGAGGGGTTTAAACACAAAGTCTAGGCCAGGTGCAGTGGCTCCTGCCTGTAATCCCAGCACTCTGGGAGGGAGGGTGGATAGCTTGAGCTCATGAGTTTGAGACCACCCTGAGCAAAACACGAGACCCTGTCTCTACTAAAAATAGAAAAAAAAAACCCGATGCAAGAAGATCGTTTGGGTGGCGCCTGTGGCTCAGTGAGTAGGGCACCAGCCCCATAAACTGAGGGTGGCAGGTTCGAACCTGGCCCCAGCCAAACTGCAACAACAACAACAAAAGATCGCTTATGCCCAAGAGTGGGAGGTTGCTGTGAACTATGATGCCACAGCACTCAGGGTGACAGCTTAAGACTCTCAAAAAAATTTAAAAAAAATAAACACAAAGTCTAGATTACAGAGGGAACTTCCATTACATTTACTCTATAATGAAAATCCAAGGTAAAAATCCGAGCAGAACACAGCTGGGAGGATCTCCCAGCAGAATTGTCTCTGACAGTGTGAATTCCAGACCACATAATACAAATGAATGAAAGGTGCTGGGTGGAGGAATCTGGAGATGTGGCCTTTCTATGCAGCTGTCCTGGGGATGGACAGCAGACACTGCTTCAGTTGCCAGTACACACTACACACGTTTGGTACACACTCGAGTGTGATTGAAGAAAAGCATTTCCTGACTTGTGGTAATGTGGACTGGGATAGTTCTCAAATTGCTGCTCATCCTTCCAGGTCACTGAGCAGTGTACAACTGATCCATGCATCCAAAATCTCGAGCTGGAGCATGAATTTTAACACACATTGCCAAGTTTAGGCTTACATCAGAAATGCCACCCTATATCTAAGGAAAAAAATCTTAGGCTGCAACTCACATCAAGTTTCATTCAGCAGAGAGAGCTAAATGCAAATATAAAGAAACCTTTGGAGGCTTCAGGACCATTATGTATAATCCCTTGCATTTGAAAGGAGCATTTTTGTCTGGTATGTTTTTCTTTTTCTTTTCTTTTCTTTTTTTTTTTTTTTTTTTTTGCAGTTTTGGCCAGGGCAGGGCTCAAACCTGCCACCCCAGTATATGGGGCTGGTGCCCTACTCCTTGAGCCACAGGCGCCATCCTGGTATGTTTTTGTAAGTGGGAAATTTAATATTTGTCTGGTAAGTTTTATGAAACTGGGTTCTACCATTCTTTTTTCACACCTGTTGCCTTTAATTATATCCACAAAGGTGATGGAGTACTGTTGTACACTAGTACAAACAAAAGAGTTGAATAAACTGGTGAGACTTATCAGGGAATAAAATGGATTGACTAGGATATGTGTGCAAATTTGGTAAAATTAACATAAATTCGAGCTGCAGTGATTTTAAGCCTTAAATAGGATGTCTCTATCAGAGCTGAGGTATTACAGAATCATTTTTGTCAACCATTTCTTTTTTCTTTTCTTTTTATGAGACAGAGTCTCACTTTATTGCCCTCGGTAGAGTGCTGTGGTGTCACAGCTCACAGCAACCTCCAGCTCCTAGGCTTAGGTGATTCTCTTGCCTCAGCCTCCTGAGTAGCTGGGGACTATAAGTATCTGCCACAATGCTCGCCTGTTTTTTGTTGCAGTTTGGCCAGACCTGGGTTTGAACCTGCCACCCTCAGTATATTGGGCCAGCGCCCTACCCACTGAGCCACAGGTGCTGCCCCAACCATTCCTTTTGTTCTGTTTTGGTTTGTTCTTTTTTGGCGACAGAGTTGCACTTTGTCATCATTGGTAGAGTGCTGTGGCATCATAGTTCACAGCAACCTCAAACTCTTGGGCTCAAGTGATTCTCTTGCCTCAGCCTCCCAAGTAGCTGGGACTACAGCAGGGGTTCTCAACCTTCCTAATGCCTCAATGTATTTTCATTGTTACAAAGGGGTCACAACCTACAGGTTGAGAACTGCTGGACTACAGGAACCTGCCACAACGCCCAGCTATTGTTAGAGACGGGGGTCTTGCTCTGGTTCAGGCTGGTCTTGAACCTGTGAGCTCAGGCAACCCACCTGCGTCCCACGTGCTGGGATTATAGGTGTGAGCCAATATGCCCAGCCTTTTGTTTTGTTTTGTTTTTGTTTTTTGAGACAGTCTCACTCTGTTGCCCAAGTGGAGTGCTGTGGCCTCATAGCTCGCAGCAACCTCAAACTCTTGGGCTCCAGCAATCCTCTTGCTTCAGCTTCCCAAGTAACTGGGACTACAGGTGCCCACCACAGTGCCTAGCTAATTTTTCTATTTTTAGTAGAGATGGGGTCTTGCTCTTGCTCAGGTTGGTCTTGACCTCCTTAACTCAAGTCATCCACCTGTCTCAGTCTCCCAGATTCTCAACCATTTCTAGGTTTCTACACATCCGGGGATCTTATTAAAATGCAGATTCTGGAATTCAGCAAATCTGGCTGGGAGCAGAGGCTCTCTTTCTAGGAAGCCCCAGGTAAATTCCAAAGACAACTTTTTAAAAATACTTGTGGAAACTTGTTTCACTTGTTTCTTATATTGGTTCTATGTTTCCTTGCAACAAACAGTAAAGTGAAGTGGGTGGCAGTGGCCTACAGAAGTGTGACTATCCTTATCTACTTCATGGAGTATGAGGAATTCAGGCAATCTGGTACAAGAGTCATCTCTGTCATGTACCCATACTTACAGGGATGGATGGCTCTTGGCCGTTCCAGGGCACAGCAATTTGATATACATTTTTCTGGAACTCATGTGGCAGGGTGAGTACAGAACAGAGTTAACAATCAAATTCAGCCAGAGGAGCCAGAAGGATGTCTCATAGAGACTGGACACATGTTCTGTAGCAGGCATCTAGGATGGCCATGAGCAAAGTGTAGAGAGCACAGCACAGGACAAACATATGATAATGGCCAATGACTTGGCCACTCGCTTATCCTGGGAGAGCCACAGGCAGCTGGCCGTGGTGCTGGCAGTGTCCAGCTGCCTCACTGCCTCTGCTGCCCCCAGCCACTGCAGATGCTGTCTCAGGGCCTATAGCCGTTCTGCTACCACCGGGCTGCTTTGGCTCTGAGGTCAACCTGCAAGAGGTCCCAGCGATGTCCAAGGAAAGACCTTTGTGCCCAGAGGAGAAGATCTGGTCTCCTTTTCCTCCCCTGAGCTGATTTAATGAAAAATATATTTCTTTTTTCTCCTTTGGAAGTTCATCTCCAGGCTATCTTTTTGGGGGGCAATGTCATTCCTCAGTGAGGAATGCTTCTATTTTGTTGTTGTTGTTGTTGACAGAGTCTAACTTTGTCACCCTCTGTAGAGAGCTGTGGCATCGTACCTCACAGCAACCTCAAATTTTTGGATTCAAAGGATTCTCTTGTCTCAGCCTCCTCAGTAGCTGGGACTATAGCCACCCTCCAGGACATCTGGCTATTTTTAGAGACGGGGGTCTCGCTCTGGCTCAGGCTGGGATTACAGCTGTGAGCTACTGCGCCTGGCCTGGAAGGAATGCTTCTAAATGTTGATATACATAGATGCTTAAGTTGTAGCCATGCTGATGATGGGGCCTGTCATCATGAAGTACCAGCTGTAGAAGAACTCAGCACAACTTCCTCCAGGGCAGAATGCTGCTTTTGGCCATATAATCTCAGCTGATGGTGGCAGGCCTGTGGAGGAGGAATGGTGTCATCCACACCAGCAGCATTACTGTAACCATTTTGTCTCACTACTCTCTATACTTTTTTCTTTCTGTATGCCTTTGGAAATGAAATTTCCAAATTCCCTTTTGGAAAAACAGCCACAGTTTGTCCAGAGAAAGATCTTTGTACCCAGAGGAGAGGCTCTGGTGATTTGTGCTTTTCCCAGGTGCATCTTCAACTTTGCTTAATAAAGCTCTGTTGATGGAGATTTTTGCCTCAGTCACTAATTTAAGTGGTCAAGGGGATTGGTGAGATTTGCCTATCTGCCAACTCACCCCCAGCTGAACTGGCAGCTCCAGGCAGCCTCTTTGCTCTTGGGAAGGTAGTCAAGGTCTGTCCCTTTGGAGGACATTAGTGATAGTCCTTCCTGTGTGGCAGCACTTAACACCCTCTGTAAAATCTGCAGCTCAGCTCTTGCCTGCATTCCGCATCTTCCTCCAGCCTATAAGTACATGTTGTGTGCGTTCTCCTCCCACCTGGAAGTGCGCAACCGGCACTTCATGTGCTCACTCAATGTTTTTACTCCTGACCAATCCGTCCACCCTGTTGTTACTGCAGGTGGTGTTAGGTCATAGTGGTGAGGAATAGGGGCTCTTTATAGAATCTAACAGCTTGAATTTGAGTGCCCACTATCACTTGGTGTGTCCCAGGCAGCTTTCTCAGCCTCCATGTGCCTCAGTGTCTTCATATGTAAAATGGGACACTCTTTTACCCAGACTTAGGGTTGTCATGACTCTTAGGAGAGTGTCTAGGGTAAAATAAGCCCCCAAACATTAGTTATCACTATTATTGAATATATATTCAATTTTTATTGAATATAAAAATATTATAAAGGGAAAAGCATGAAATAACAAGTCTTGGCTTTTTTCTCCCTGTATCTTTGGTTTGGAGAAAACATTCTGAAAGGGTGAGAGAACCAAGGAGTGAAAGCGCTCTGAAGACTCGGAAGTGAAAGTACCCCCAGCTGGGCTGCTCTGCCACAGGCCCTTTTGGAGCATGTGTCTGAACAGAATCTTTGCTCTCCACATGGGTCAGTGCAGGACATGAAATGTTGGTCACAAGGTGACGCCCACCATATACACAAAAGCCTTTCTGTTCCTGCAAAGGAAACCAGCAACTAAGGGAGGATCTCAGGAGGGAGTAGCCAAGCAATTAGTTTTCTGAGCTCCTAGAAAGGTAGAAACACTCCCCAAGAAGACATTTGTACTTAGGAAATTTGATTTTGGTCAAATTCAGCAGGAGTGTAAGGAACGGTAACAGGCATAGGAGACAAAAGCTTAGAATAATTGATAGGCCTTTTCTTGGATTGATGTAAACCTTCCAGGATACATGTTAGAAAATGTTTATACCACCAGACACCTTGTTTCTCAGGGTCTCATTCAGGATCCTCAAAGGCAATTGCCTGTTTTCCCATGGGGTATCTGTCCCTTTCCTCAGAGGACATACTACTATCAGTATTGGACATGAACCACAAATCACCTCATTTTCTAGCTTCATCTAAGACTTCATTTTTTTCATTTAAAGTTAAAGTTTGATCTATTAGTAGCATTACATCTCTCCATGAGAGGTCAAAGCTTTGTCCTAACCCCTGGAGAACATCTGTGTACCTATCAAGGTCATCAGAAAATTTCCCTAAATCTGTCTTAATTTGTTTTAAATCTGCCAGAGAGAATGGAGAATGGAGTTCCCCTTTCACTACTTGCGGTTTTGACCAAGGGATATAAAGAAGGATAGTGTTGCTTTCTGGGGGGGTCCCAACAGGAACAGAAGAAACTGTGGGATAAACTCATTCCTGGGGTTTTCTAAATGCAGTGAGGAAGAAACAGGATAAGTAGATGGTGGGTTTGAATTAGGTGGTGACAATGTCTCTCTCAGGAATCCCTGGCCATTGGGGAAATTATTATAGCCAGGAGAGCTGGATCTATCTGACAGGTTTTACACAGTTGGGGTTTATTTCTGAGAAAAAAGAAAGCTTGAACATAGATAATTTTGACAATTTCCTCTTTTTTTTTTTTTTTTTTTTTAACCATAATTTAGAGTACCCTCTGGTGGCCATCTTTCACCATTGGTACAGAAGAAAACCATACTTTGTTTTTTCAGTGTCTGGGGATAAAACCTGTCCCAGTGCTTCAGAATGCAGCCCAGTGGAGTGTTCTCTTGGAGAGAGAATATGTTACCCATCTGTGGGAAAGAACAAACATCCTGTGTCTTACTCAATAGCATCCTCTGACTAACCCAAGAAGCCTTCCAGTCAAACAAAAGGAAGCATCCTTCCAATGCTTGGGGAAGAATCCCTGAGGAGAGTGCCCTCCTCAGCCCCTGTGCTTGTCTGGATTTAGCCACTCTTACCAGTGTAGTGCTTTGTACCCATGGGTTCTCCTATGCTTATTACTTGTTCTGTTGCCCTTGGTAGAGTGCTGTGGCATCTACCAAGGGTGACAAAGTAAGACTCTGTCTCTAAAAAAAAAAACAAAAAACCATGATTATAGAGAAAAACAGGATAGAGGTGAGTGGTCACATTGCTGACCACAGATCTTCAATTATGTTTACCACATATCTTCAATCCTGGACGACCCACAAATATGTTACGGAAATTTCACTCTTCAGTAGGTCCTTGGTCTCAGGAATTTGAGGAATGAACCCATGGATCACAGATCAGCAGCAAGACAGGATTTTTATTAAAAATTAGAAAGGAATACAGAAGAAATAAAAGACACCAGAGCTTCTGGCAGATGGAAAGAACTAACTGGGGCATCCGTAAGTGGGCTCTTTATCTAGGGATATTAGGTCTTGAGAATTACACTTGGCTAGGACTTGGCAAATAGAAACACATATTCATTATTAATGAGTGTTATTGACAAAGGAATGAATGCAGAAGTCCCTCCAGCTCAGGGAAAAAGGGCAGGGTTGTTCCCTTCATGAACTTGCCCAAGCCTAGGAAAACTGGGGCCCCCTGTCCAGCCTTGAATGGGAGAACCCTATATCACTTTGATGTAACCTAAGCAAGTAGTGAATAAATGTTGACAGAGGTTTGGAGATGAGAAGGGCTGTGTATAGCAAATTTCTTCAGTTTAACAAATAAATTGCCCTCAATGGAGTTTGCAGCAGCATCAGTATTATGTCTCTGACTCTGTTGCTGGCTCTTCCTTTCTAAGACTTTTCCAGAAACAGCACTAGTTTTGGTGATATCTGCAAAATATTTGGTAACTTAAGGAGAAGTGATACCTGTTTTCTTCTGTGCTGATGGAAATAAGTGAGGAGAAATGCAGCCACTTGTGGGGTTTGCAGCCAGGACCCTTAAAGGGGAGAATTATGAGAAGGGCAGCTTAGTTTTCAAGGCCTGCTGTTAGTCTCAATTTTATTGTTTTCTGTGTTTTTATCTCATGCTGCACAGTAAATATTTGTTCAGTAAACAAATAAATGTAAGGTCAGACTCTGCAAGCAAGAGTCAAAGAAATCTTCTTTCCTGGAAAACCTAGTCGAATTAGCACAGGTTTTCATAATCACCTCTCCTGGCTCCATTTTGTTTCAGCCATAAGGGATCTGAGAGAGCCCAAGGCTGTCTTTCAAAGCAGTTGGTTAAACGGTTCCTTGTGATAAGACCCTGGAGGCTGTCACCACCAGGTTGGTGCCCTTTGGTGGATTCATCCTACTTGGTGTCTCAGCAACCTACGCTGTTGCAAGATGGCCTCAGCAGCCTGGCAGTGACAGCATGGCAGAGGCGTTAAAGGTTTTTTTTCAGAGTCTCGGCTGGGTTAGAGTGGAGGAGTAATTTAACTTCTTGAGAGTCCATTTTCTTATCTGTAAAACGGGCATAATAAGAGTTCCTGTTTCATGGGATGGTTCTGGAAGATTAAATAAGGTAGTGCAATTAGGGCATGCAGAAGGGTGTCTTGTGCACAGTGCGCATTGTCAGCTATTATCCCAACTGAAGCTGCGTTTGATTAGTAAAACTTAAAAAAATAAAAAAATTAATGCACTTATTAAAATTTTTTTTTTCTTTTTCTAAGAGACAGAGTCTCACTTTGTCACCCTCGGTAGGGTGCTATGGCATCACAGCTCACAGCAACCTCTAGCTCTTGGGCTTAGGCGATTCTCTTGCCTCAGCCTCCCAAGTAGTTGGGACTATAGGCGCTCGCCACAACGCCCGGCTAATTTTGTTGCAGTTTTGCCGGGTCCGGGTTTGAAACTGCCACCCTCCGTATATGTCGCTGGCTGCCCTACCCACTGAGACACAGGCGCCGCCCGAACTTACTAAATTTAATCTGATATTCCTTAAAAATATGCAGTCTTTGTATGTATGTTAGAGGGAGAGAGACTAATTTTTGGTAGTGAACATTTGAGGTCCCCCAGGCCGACATCTTGGTACAGTCCAAAACGTGCATCTGAAATGAGCTGCCCAGGTGACGCCAACAGTAAAGACCTAAAAAGCCAAAATAGCATGTTGGTGACTCCCAGTCCAGTGTCTTTTCCAATATACCTAATTTTCAGTCAAGGCTTGTTGGTTTTTCGAAAATCATCCCAAATTATGTTCCAATAATTAATTGTCCAAGTTCGTCCTAGTGAGGCAAAGACCAGGAGCGTGGAGGAGAGCTGTCCGCCAGGCCGGCAGAGGGCGCAGAGGCGCTGTTGGCCGGGCTGATGATGCTGCAGGGGGTCGGGGCTCTAATTGGGCCAAGTGCCTCGGCCAATCAGTAGCCTCCGCGTAGTTGGTGTGCGCGGCCGCCGCTGAAATTTGAAATGGCTGGCGTATTGCTGGCGGGTAGCGGCCCGGAGTCAGAAGCCATGGCATCGGGGCGTAGCAGCTGGGTGGCCGAGGAGGAGCCAGCGCCCCTGGAGAAAGGTGAGCACCCGCTATGCTGGGCCGAGAAGCCTCCTTCTGGCCTGGGGTGTTGGCCACTTAGAGAGCGCCTGGGTCGCAGGCCTTTCGGACCCGGCTACCAAGGCGGCGGGGGTGGCTGTGCTGGGTCCGCAGGCACCCTCAGGACGTCTAAGTCGGGTACAGGAGCATCTCCCTCTCTTCCGGTGCTCTCTGGCCTCGGCCCTCCCTAGACTGGAGGGAGTCTGGTTGAGACAAGAATTGCAAACCTGGATGGGCTTCAGGAAATGTTACAGGCATCAGTTCTTTGTCAGTGGAGATCGTTGATCACCCTTCTGTTTCCCGAAAAAGAAAAAAATTTGAACCACGGGCCTGGGTAGCTTTCCTGTGCACCGAAGGCAGGCAACATGCCCAAAGATAGTGGCGACAACTAGGAACGGAGTCCTGTAATCTAGTTCTCCTAATTCTCTGTTCAATTGGAGATCCATCTTTTTTTTTTTTTTTCCCTGAGAGTTTACATTTTTACTTTAACATTTTCAGTTGTGTAATGGAAAGAGTCTTGGCGAAGTGAGAAAACATAGGTGTGAAAGCCAATGATTCTACTTGTGGTGAAGATATAAATGAAATGATGTGTGAAGAATAGTATTTTCAAAGTGGCTGCAGATACTGCATGATATCATTTATATGTGGAATCTAAATAAAGCAAATTTAGAGAAACAGAGTAGAACAGTGGTTTCCAAGGACTGGGGGTGGGGGAAAGGGGAAATGTTGGTCAAAGGGTACAAAGTTTCATTTATGCAGGATGAATAAATTATGGGGCTCTAGTGTACAGTATGGTAATGATAGTTAAAAATACCATCATGTGTAGGCTGGAGCCTGTAGCACAGTGGTTATCGCACCAGCCACATACACCAAGGATGGTGGGTTCAAACCTGGCCTGGGCCAGCTGAACAACAATAACAACCTCAACAAAAAATAGCTGGGCGTTGTGGCCAGTGCCTGTAGTCGCAGTAACTTGGGAGGCTGAGGCAAGCTTAATCCTGAGAGTTTGAGGGTGACATAGTGAGACTCTGTCTCAAAAAACTATAGTGTGTATTCCAAATTTGTTAAGAGAGTAGATAATAAATGTTCTCATAAAATGTAGCTAGAGATATTGGAAATATTAATCAGCTTTATTGGGGTACTCATGTATATAAAAACATCATAAACTTCTCCCTCTTCCTCAATGAGAGGAACAAAAACCTAACTTGTGAAACATCTTAAACTCTTATTGTTTTAAAGTAGAATTTAGGGCTGCATGTGTTGGCTCATACTTGTAATCCTAGCACTCTCAGAGGCCAAGGCAGGAGGATCCCTTGAGTTCCAGAATATAAGACCAGCCTGAGATAATTAGATCCCCATAATTTATTTATCCTGCATAACTGCAAGACCTGGTTTCTATTAAAAATAGAAAAATCAGCTAAGTGTGGTGGGCATCTATAGTCCCAGCTACTCAGGAGGCTGAGGCAGGAGGATCACTTGAATCCAAGAGTATGAAGTTGCTGTGAGCTAGGCTGATGCCAAGGCACTCTGCCCAGTGACAGAGTGAGACTCTGTCACAAAAAAAAAAAAAAAAAAAAAAAAAAAAAAAAGTGAGATAAGAGAACTTAGATTTTGAGAACTGTTTAAGTTTGGAAAGCTAATTTCTTCTGATAATAATAGAGGTAAGTAGAGCATTCATACTCCAATCTTTGTATTTTGTTTGGAATTTCCTTTTTTTTCTGAGACAGAGTCTTACTTGTTGCCATTGATAGAGTGCTGTGGTGTCATAGCTCGCAGCAACCTCAAACTCTTGGGCTTAAGCAATTCTCTTGTCTCAGCCTCCCAAGCAGCCGGGACTATAGCAGCAATTTTTAGGGGTGAGGGGGATCTCGTTCTTGGCTCAGGCTGGTCTTGAACCTGTGAGCTAGGCAATCCACCTGCCTCGGGCTTCCAGAGTGCTGGGATTACAGGTCTGAGCCACCATGCTGGCGTCTTTGTTTGAAATTTCTAAGCAAGAATGTGAAAATAGAAGCATTCTGTAAGTACTAGAAATAGCTGGGATAGTTGAGTCTGCATATTTTGTTGTTTTTTTAGGTTTGTTCCAAGATGAAGACTCATGCAGTGACTGTAGTTACCATGCAGGAACTAGTTTACGAAGTTTTGTACTAGAAGGAAAAACTCCTTTCCCAGAAATTTTCCAAACAAGTCAACTTTTGTTCTATGAGCGATTCAGTGCCTATCAAGATTACATTTTAGGTGAGTAGGTTCTATTTTTTGCTGCTTTTGTCTTTAGTTTACAAGTAGGTTGTCTATATAAGTCCCTCATATTGCTAGTTATTTGTTCTGAGAAAGTGAATTGAAATGGATTTATCAATTCCTCTCTGCTTTGCGTATTCTCAATTCTTCCTGTGCTTGATTTGTTTGTAGCTGACTGCAAGGCCTCTGAGGTAAAGGAATTTACAGCTGAGTTCTTGGAGAAGGTCCTTGAACCATCTGGATGGCAGGCAGTCTGGCAAACTAGTGTGTTCAAGGTGCTGGTTGAGGTAAATTTAATGTTGTTAAGACATTTGTCTCTAAGTTTAAGCATTTTACTTCAGAGTATTATAACCAAAATGCTTTTTCTTAGTTAACGTTATAAGCTGATTGAAATAGCATGTTTTTCATATCTAATTGCTATGGTGTATGAAATTGTCCACAGATTGTAAAGGCAATTGAGGAGGAGTTACCCAGGAATTAGGGTGGTTTAAGTTTCAGTGTCTTTTGACAAGGGGAACTGGATTATAAACCTAGGAAGTATAGGAGGTATTTGAAATCATTTAAAGAATGAGGAAGACTCATTATGAAGTCAATAGTTTCAATTAATTTTTTACCTTCTTAGTTGTAGCCCCTTAACTAGCTCTACCCAAAGAGGCATTTTAAAACTAGCCCATTTTTTGCCTGGAAAATTAGTAAATTTGTGGTTAATCTGGTGATAATGTGTTCCATTGCAGAAAGTGAAAACGATTTTATTTTTCAACTGACTAGGCCTTTTACATTAAATTTGCATTCTAATTTTTTCTAATTTTTCTTGGTGTTTATTAACTAGACCACAGAAAAATCCTGTTAAACTAGAATGTTAAAGCAGAGCGTGCGAGTATAGTTTGTTGCTGCAGCTCCTTTAGAATATGACATCACAGACTGCAGTGATGAGGTACAAGGGTGTGGGTTGCAGCTGTTCCTTGTGAATTTTTACATTTTGGGTCATGCTAATGTCTTTGGTTGAAATTCAGGCTTCAGTAGTGCTGCTTTTCCCCTTCCCCAGAGACTCTCTAAAAGCAAAGTCATAGTTTTAAAGAGAAGTATGATATTTATTTGCTTGAAACTCCTAAAGCATTGCATTTACCTAGTGCTGACTTTGTGTCTTATTGTTGCGCTAGAGAACTTGTAAAATCTGAGCTCCTTCTGATATCTTTCATGTCCTGATCTTGCCTCTCTCTCCTGCCTCATCTCTTGCTGCTGCACAGCCTGCCCTCCCCAGTCCCCATTTCCTCCCTTTGGTTCTAGCAAGAAGCATTGCCTTTCTGCTCCTCTAGCTGCTAGGCACATCTCTGCCACAGGCCTTTTGTGCCTTCTCTGCTTTTTAGATGGCTGCTTCCTTTCACCCTTCTCAGTTCAGCTCAGAGGTGACTTTCTCTGGCCACCCCAGCTAAATCAGATTACCACCACCCCTGCTGGTTATTCTCTGTCACCTACTCCTCATCATCTTTTTTATTGAACACGCTGATTATAATGTAAGCTCCATGAGTGTGAGAGCCAGGGCTTGCCTGCATTTTATGCTTTAAAAAACCCCAGGCAGTTAGTTGTATTTTATTTTATATCTTAATCTTGATCTCCATGTGTTAAATCGCATAACTTTACATTTCAGATCACAGATGTGGACTTTTCAGCCTTGAAGGCAGTGGTGAGGCTTGCTGAACCACACCTCTGTGAGTTTCAAGTGAGCACCTTTACCTTGGAGTGTGTGAAAGAGCTCCTCGATCTGAAGGAGCATCAGCTGCCCCTACAGGAGTTGTGGGTGGTATATGACGATTCTGGAGTATTTGACCAGACAGCACTTGCAATTGAGCATGTCAGGTAGGAATATAGGAATATAAGTTGATAAAAATAATCTTGTGGGTTTAGTGCCTGTGGCTCAAGTGGCTAAGGCGCCAGCCACATATACCTGAGCTGGCAGGTTTGAATCCAGCCCAGGCCCACCAAACAACAATGATGGCTGCAACCAAAAAATAGCCAGACATTGTGGTGAGTGCCTGTAATCCTAGCTACTTGGGAGGCAGAGGCAGGAGAATTGCCTGAGCCTGGGAGTTGGAGGTTGCTATGAGTTGTGATGCCACAGCACTCTACCCAGGGTGACAGCTTGAGGCTCTGTCTCAAAAAAAAAAAAAAAAAGAAAAAAGAAAAAAAACCACACAAAAAAACAACTTGTGGCTAGAAGCTTTGAATGAAATGAAGTAATTCCAGTCTGTGTTAGACCCAGAGTTAAAACTTAAATTGTGCACTTGGTCATTGCAATATTAAAATATTTAGGCCAGGTGCTAGCTCACATCTATAATCTTTACACTCTGGGTCCCTTGAGTCCCGGATATCAAGACCAGCCTGAGCAAAAGTGAGTCCTCATCTCTACTAAAAATAGAAAAACTAGTTGAGAGTTGTGGTGGGCACCTGTAGTTCTAGCTACTCGGAAGGCTGAGGCAGGAGGATCACTTGAGCCTAAGAGTTTGAGATTGCTGTGACTTATGACGACAGCATTCTCTAGCCAGGGCTATAGAGTGAGACTCTGTCTCAAAAAATAAAATGAATAAATAAAATAAAAATAAATAAATTCAAAGACAGAAGAATCCTTTTTAAAAATCAAAGAAGTATTTTAAAAAATGTCTTAAATCATTTTGTGATAGTTTCAGACTTACAGAAAAGCTGAAAACTAGTGTAGTTAACTTAAGAATGATGCAAAGTTGATGGGTGCCATCCTCTTGCACAGTTGAAAATCTGACTATAACTTATGGCTCTCCCAAAACTTTACTAATAGCCTACTGTTGACCAGAAGCCTTACCAATAACACAGTTGATTAACACATTTCATATGTATTATATACTGTGTTCTTACCATAAAGTAAGATAGAGAAAAGAAAATTTTATTAAGAAAAATCATAAAGGAAAGATCACCTATATGGTCTGTCTAACAAGGGTACAAGTGAACTTTTCTAGAATTAGAGTATAAATGTTTTAACACAATAACTAAGTAAATGACACAAAGTCTATGTTAACCAGTTTGATGAAAATATTTCAAATTGTATATGAAAACACTACACTGTACCCCATGTTTGCATTAATGTATACAGCTATCACTTAATAATAATAAAAAAGAGAAATCATAAGGAAGGAAAATTAGTTCACTATTAAGTGGAAGTGGCTGTTATAAAGGCCCTCCTTGTCTTGATGATGAACAGGCTGGGAGGGAGGGTGGCCTTGTCTCTAGTGAAGGAGCAAAGGAGGTGGGACGGGAAAGAGGCCGACGAGGCGGGCACACTGATTTGTACTTTAGAAATGGACCTGTGAAGTTCAAATCCACGTTTTTCAAGGGTCAAGTGTACACAGAATTCCTATGTATCTATTACCTGGTTTCCCTAAATATTAACAAACCTTAGGGGGGTTTTAATTTGCTTTATATGTATTTTGAAACTGCCTTAAACGTTGTGAATGCTAAGCCATGTGGTTAGTATATCTAAGAGGACAGAAAGAAAGGAAAGGGAAAAGAGTGAAGAAGGCTGTGTGTGATGATGTGCGTCCTACAAAACGAACACACAGTTTTTTCAAGCATATGCTGGTCATAGAAGGTGTTCTTCCAGGATCCTCAGGGCCTGTGTTCCTGCCTTTAGCTTTTTTTGACATAGTCGTTTACTCTTGTACAAGTGGAACCCTTGTTCCTTAAGTGAGAAAGAAAGCCCATACCTGGATTGATAGGTTTGATTTAAAAACATTTTTCAGGCAAATTTTTTTTTTTAGAGACAGACTCTTATTTTGTTGCCCTCAGTAGAGTGCTGTGGCATCACAGCTCACAGCAACCTCCACCTCTTGCTCTTAGGCGATTCTTTTGCCTCAGCCTCCCAAGGAGCTGGAACGACAGGTGCCTGCCACAATGCCTGGCTATTTGTTGCAGTTTGGCCTGGGCTGGGTTCGAAACTGCCACCCTCAGTATATGGGGCTGGCGCCCTACTCATAGAGCCACAGGTGCTGCCCCAAATCTTTTATCAGTTAGCTCCTGACACAGTTCTTTTGGAGTGTCTGTATTTAAGGTATAGTCATTAAAGAAGGCTTACTTTAGCTATTCCTCCGGGAACTTGAAGTCTGGATAATACTTAATGATCATAATGTTAATAATGTTGCTTGCATTTTGTAGTTTAAAAAGTACTTTCCAGTTTCTGTACCATTAGTGAGTGACCTGGTTTGCTTAATCTGAACACTCTACAAAGAGCACAAAGACGCTCGGCACCTATGGCTCAAGCGGCTAAGGTGCCAGCCACATACACCTGAGCTGGCGGGTTCGAATCCAGCCTAGGCCTGCCAAACAACAATGACGGCTGCAACCAAAAAATAGCTGGGTGTTGTGGCGGGCGCCTATAGTCCCAGCTACTTGGGAGGCGTAGGCAGG